GGCCTGGGCACTGTCCCTCAGCTCTTCAGCTCAAGGCGAGCGCTCTACCACTTGAGCTACAGCGCCACTTCCAGTTTTCTGGTGGTTTTATTGGAGATAGGAGTCTCACAGTCTTTCCTGCCCGGGCTGGCTTTGAACCGCGACCCTCAGATCTCAGCCTCCTGAGTAGCTAGGATTACAGGCGTGAGCCACCAGCGCCCGGCTCTCAACAAATTAATTTCATGGTAAAAAGGAGAGAAGCTTTTGCTGAATATAAGAGACTTTAGAGGAGTGTTGTGGTAGTAAATGTTTAACACCAAATTCTCTTGTGGAAAAGAAAACACTGATTTCTAGTATTTGCTGATTTTTGTAGTGTAAATGCTCCTACAATTGATAATTTCAGGTTACCAGTATGACCTCAGTGAATGCTAAGTTGGGAAGAAATGTACAATGACATTCATTCTTTGGTACTTCCACTACATATACTCAATAGCTATAAACCTCAAATGCATAAATATGCAGGCATTCTATCACCTGACCACTCTATTAGTCCCTTTTTGCATTGAGATAGGGTCTGTGATCTTCCTATTGTGTTTCTCTTTGTCACTGGAGTGTTAGGTGTGCAGCATTATGTCTAGCTATTGATTGTGAACTATGCTCAGGCTGGCTTTAAACCACAATTTTCTGATTCCAGCTCTCAAGTAGTTAAGATTACAGGTTTGCACCACTGTGTCTGGCTTAATAGCCTGAGTTATTTAAAAAAGGAAAGAAGAAAAGAAAAGGTCCTGGCCAGGTGCTGGTGGCTCATGATTATAATCCTCTTCAGGAGGATTATTAAAACTCTTCAGGAGGCTGTTATAAGAAGAATATGGTTCAAAGCCAGTTTGGGTAGGAAAGTCTCCAGCTAACCAGTAAAAGCCAAAAGTGGAGGTCAACTGGTAAAGCACCATCCTTGAGTGAAAAAAGCTAAGGGACCATGAGTTAAAGCCATAGTACCAACAAGCAAACAAAAAAGGTCCTATGTGATGCCTTAAATATACTTTAAAATATTACAAGATGTGAAAGATGTGGGAGTAGATAGCTGAAACAAGGTTTACAATGATGATTGCTATTGAAGGTGGTCATGGTTATATGGGATTTATTATATGATTCTACTTTTTATTAAGTTTCAACGTTTCTATAAAAGGCAAAAAAAAGCTATAATGTCTTTTTTGTTGTTGTTCATGAGGCCTGAACTCTGGGCCTGAGCACTGTCTCTCAGCTCTTTAACTCAAGGCTAGTGCTCTACCACTTGAGCCACAACGCCACTTCCAGTTATTTTTTTTTGCTTATGTAGTGCTGAGGAATTGAACCCAGGGCCTCAGGCATGCAAGGCAAGCATCCTACCTCTGAGCTACCTTCCCAGCCCCTGTTTTTGCTTTTAACATGGAGAGTCATAAATACAAGTGTTTTGTACTTGATTTGTAAGTTACAGTACACCAACTGTTTTCATTTAGGAGGAGAGAAAGACATTCTATTTACTCAAGGCTGGAACATGGGTAAGATGTCAATGGAAAGGTTACAGAGGGTATAGTGTTGTATACCTGTATAATATCAGTTATTTAGGGGGTTTCTGGCAGGAGGATCCTAAGTTTGAGGCCAGGCCAGGCACTCTGTCTCCAAGCAAACAAACAAGATATTTTTTTCTAATTCAAAAACCTAATTGTTATGCTATATGCGTATTTCAGGATTGTACATGTTCCCCTCTTTTATAGTATCAGCATTGTCTATATCATTGGGATTATTTTTAGTACCTGTTTATGATCACATAAATAAAATATAATGTATAAATTTGCCTTTGTTGGGAGATTTAGATTATTTACAAATCGCAACATCTTTTTTGATTTTGCCGGTCCTGGGGCTTGAACTCAAGGCCTGGGCACTGTCGCTGAGCTTCTTTTTGTTCAAGGCTAGCACTCTACCACTTGAGCCACAGCACCACTTCTGGCTTTTTCTGTTTATGTGATACTGAGGAATCGAACCCAGGACTTCATGCATGCTAGGCAAGCATTCTACCACGAAAGCACATTCTCAGCCAATGTCTTTTTTTAAATCAGTCCTGGGGCTTGAACTCAGGGCATGGGCACTGTCCCTGATCTTCTTTTGCTCAAGGCTAGCACTCTACCACTTGAGCCTCAGCACCATTTCTGTCTTTTTCTGTTTATGTGGCACTGAGGAATCGAACCCAGGGCTTCATGCATGCTAGGCAAGCACTCCACCACGAAGGCACATTCCCAGCCAGCAACATCTTTTTTGAGGAACTTATGTGCATGTATTTATCTCTTGTAATACTTGAATGTGGTTTTGTGATAAAAAAAAATAATGTTTAGCTGGAAATGTGGGCCAGCAGTAGAGTGTCTGCCTAGCAAGTACAAGTCTCTGAGTTCAAACTCCTATAACGAACTACTAAAAATGTTTAATTAATGTGCTGACTTGGGGTTTCAAAGACTTTATTAATGATAAGAAATCATTTTTCCTCTCCCAGGGTATAAAACCAGCCAGCTTCAATAAAGTCACTGATCCAGAAGTAAAAGAAATCATTGAAGGATGTATTCGTCAAAACAAATCTGAAAGGTAGGTGTAGTGTAGGGAAATGATGTAAAGTAATGGTTGCATTTTTCTCTTACTTTGTACTGAGTCTTTTTTTTTTTTTTTTTTGGGTCCGAACTCTGGGCCTGGGCGCTGTCCCTCAGCTCTTCAGCTCAAGGCTAGGGCTCTACCACTTGAGCCAGTGCACCACTTCCGGCTTTTTTTCTTTTTGCTTATGTGGTACTGAGGAATCGAACCCAGGGCCTCAGGCATGCAAGGCAAGCGCTCTACCACTGAGCCACCTTCCCAGCCCCTGAGTCATTTTTTTGACCTCATGCTTTTCCTTTGTAATGAGTTTGACCTTTGAGTGGGAGCCAAACTGTGTAGAGCAGTGTATCAGTGAATGTGTTTGCTGGTTTAGAAATGCTGCTGTATCTTTTCAGTACTAGGGATTGAATCCAGGGCTTCTTACATATTAGGCAAGTGCTTTATAGTTTGAAAAATGCCCAGAGGCATGCTTGCCATTTTAGACTTTAATATCATATGCTGAATTATCCTTAAAATAACATTTAGGTTGTCTTTCTATATATATGTTGTGATAAACTTTCATCATCATTAGCTATCAGTTTAATAGTTAGTTGGCCCTCACAAGTTAGCAAATAATTGAGACTAAACTTATATATTTGATCATATATCTTGTGTCAAAAACAATGGGAAGCTAAGATGAATACTTTTGTTCAAAAAGCATTATTGTAGGTTTATTTATATCACAATTTGTGTTTTTCTGTAGACTCTTTTTTAGTGTTAATTTTGTCTTCCCTTTAATTTGAATCTTGGACAATTGCTTACAAGCTGGTAGGTTCATCTTTTGTTTTTCACCTCCACATTAATGATGATTAGTAAAGATGATCTATCCTATAGAATAATTCCATGAGTATGTCATTGACTCTCCCTGTTTGTTTGTTTGTTTGTTTTTGTTGCCAAGCTTGGGGCTTGCACTCAGGGCCTGGGCACTGTCCCTGAGCTTCTTTTGCTCAAGGCTAGTATTCTACTAGTTGAGCCGCAGCACCACTTCCAGCCTTTTCTGTTTATGTGGTCTGAGGAATTGAACCCAGGGCTTCATGCATGCTAGGCAAGTACTCTACCATTAAACCACATTCCCAGCCCCTTGTTTTTGTTTCTTGCCAGTCCTGGAGCTTGAACTCTGGGCCTGGGCCTTATCCCTGGGCTTCTTTTGCTTAAAGCTAACACCCTACCACTTGACCCACAGTGCTACTTTTGGCTTTTTCTGTGATTAATTGGAAATAAGAGTCTCAAGGACTTTCCTGCTCATGCTGGCTTCAAAACACAATCCTCAGATTCCAGCCTCCTGAGAAGCTAGGATTACAGGCGTGAGACACTTGTGCCTGGCTGTTTTGTTTTGTGTGTGTGTGTGTATGTGTGTTCTTGGGGCTTGAACTCAGGTCCTTGGTGCTATACCTAGGTGCTCAAGGATAGCAGTTTACCACTTGAGTCACAACTGCCCTTCTGGCTTTCTGGTGGCTAACTAGAGATAATAGTTTGTCACAGACTTTCCTGGTCAGGCTAGTTTAGAACCTCAATCCTCAGATCTCAGCCTCTTGAGTGGATAGGATTATAGCATGAGCCACTGACGCCCAGTTTCTCCCTGTTTTTAATAGTGTCTACCCAATTTCAGAGTTGCATATCTCAGGTTGTATAAAACCACTAAAGAAAGACCTATTTAATATTGGCTTTATTATAAAACATTTTTAGTGTTTGTACAAAAAGATGATTATTAATTTTAGTGAAATTAACTTAAGATATACTATTTTAGTCATTTGAAGTGTATAATTCAGTGGCATTAAGTACATTCCTTTGTATACAATCATTACCACTATCAGCTCCAGAATTTTCTCATCATTCCAAAGTAAAACTTCATATGCACTAAACCTCAACTCCCCATTTCTTCTCTGTTCTCCCTTCTAACCCTGTGGATATGCCTGTTTTAGGATCCTCACATAAGTGAACCAAACAGTGTTTGTTCATTTGTGTTGACTTTATTTAATCTAACACAGATTTTTTTTCAAGGTTGATTCCCATTGTAGTACATATTAGAGTTTTCCTCCTTTATTTTGTGCCAGTACTGGGGCTTGAATTCAGAGCCTGGTTGCTATCCCTTAGCTTTTTGGCTAAGGTTGGTGCTGTACTGCTTGAGCCATACCTCCACTTCCACTTTTTTTCTTAAAATATATATTTTTTATTGTAAAGATACTGTACAGAGAGGTTACAGTTACGTGAGCAATGTAATGAGCATTGTTACACCCTCCTTTGTTTTTCCCCTACCATCCCTTTCCTCCCCACCTCCCCAACTCCTCCATACCCCCTCCCCCCCCAAAGTTGTAAAGTTCATTTTCACATATTGTCTTGTACATCCCATTGTTACAGTGGGTCATCCTGTATCCTTATTTATTTCCCTTACCCTCCCCATATTAGAATAATGTATATACAAGATGTAGGACACTGGCATCAAATACAGTGACAACAGTACCATGGGGAAAGAACATACAAAGAAACAAAAAAAATCACACAGTACATTATAAGTACATTGAAAACAGCAGCAACAAAGATAAAACCTCTTGTGTCCCTATCTTGGGGTTCATTTCGCTTAGCATCAGGTTATATGGTCATATGTACATAGCTTTTGACCACTTGTGCTTGTCTTAGACGTATACTAGTTATTGCAGATAAGGGAAACCATGTGACCTATGTTTCTTTAGGCCTGGCTTACTTCACTTAATCTACTTCCAACTTTATGGTAGTTAATTTGACATAAGACTCTCATGGACTCTCCTGTGCACTGGCTTTGAACTGGAATCCTTAGGTCTCAGCCTCTTGAATAGGTAGGAATATATTGCATAAGCCACTAGCGTCCAGTTCCCCCTTTTTAAGACTGAATAATTGCCCAATTATATGAATAGGCTACATTTTGTTTATAAATTCATTTGTTGATAGACATTTAGGTTATTTTTACCTTTTGATTACTATGTGTTTTGCTTTACAAATGTTGGTATATGGCTAAGTTCCTGCTGTCAGATTTTTTGAATATATACCCAAGAGTGGAATTCCTGGATTATATGACAATTATATGTTTTTATTTATTTTTTTTGTCAGTTGTGGGGCCTGAACTCTGGGCCTGGATGCTGTCCCTCAACTCTTCAGCTCAAGGCTATCACTCTACCACTTGAGCCACAGCACCATTCTGGCTTTTTCTGCTTATGTAGTGCTGAGGAATTGAACCCAGGGCCTCATGCATGCAAGGCAAGCACTCTACCACTGAGCCACCTTCCCAGCCCCGACAATTCTGTGTTTAACTATTTGAAGAACTGCCAAATTGTTATCACTGCACCTGCACCACTTTATAGATTTCATCCTGGTGGTGCTAGGGTTCAAACTCAGATCTTCATGCTTATTAGGCAGGCAGTACATCTTAGCACATTGATTATTTGTAAGATAAGGTTTTACTTTTTGCCTGGGCTGGCCTCATTACATGATCTTCCTGAGTAGCTAGGGTTTAATGTTTATTTTTTTCTTTTTTTTATCTTTTTTGGGTTTAATGTTTATTAAATGATTTTCATCTTGTAACAGAAAAACTGATAACAAGATGTATGCTTTGTTTATTAGGTTGTCTATCAGAGATCTTTTAAACCATGCATTTTTTGCTGAGGACACAGGACTTAGGGTGGAGTTAGCAGAGGAAGATGATTGCTCAAATTCATCCCTGGCTCTAAGGCTATGGGTCGAAGACCCTAAGAAATTGAAAGGAAAACACAAAGATAATGAAGCTATTGAATTCAGCTTCAATTTGGAAACAGATACACCTGAAGAAGTAGCATATGAAATGGTAAGTAAATCTTACTGTTCTTGGCCCCATTTCTTGTGGTATCAGGACTGATTCCTTTCTCCTTTTCCCTCTTTTCTCCTTTTTTCTTTTCTTTTTGTGCCAGACTTGGGGCTTGAACTCAGGGCCTGGACAGTGTCCCTGAATTTTTTGGTCAAGTCTAATGCGCTACCATTTGAATTTCAATCCTTAGATCTCAGCCACCTGAGTAATTAGGATTATATAGCTACCAGTCCCTGGCTTATTTGTTTGTTCGTTCATTCATTCATTCATTCATTCTGGGCCTGTTCTGGGCTTGAACTCTGGGCCTGGGCACTGACCCTGAGCTTCTTTATGCTCATCAGTAGTGTTCTACCACTTGAGCCACAGCTCTACTTCTGGCTTTGTGGTACCTAAAAGTCTCATGGACTTTTCTGCCTGATCTGGCTTTGAACTGAGATCCTCAGATCCCAGCTTTCTGAGTAGCTAGGGTTACAGATGTGAGCCACCAGTTCTGGTCTCCTTTTGTTGTAATTTAAATTATTTTGCTATTATGAAGTATATATTAACAACAGTATATTAAATTTGTATGTATAAGACAAAGAAACATAAAATACTACTTAGAAAACAGAACGTTCATTGCCTTAGTAACCACTTTCATGTCCTTCCCAGCTGTATCTCATCCCTCATCATAGCAGGCAATATTTGCCCTGACTTTCTCCTTACTCCTTCCTTTTGTTTTTCCTTGTAGTTTATCAAAGTGGAATATATTGTTCTGTTTTGAAAACCTAAATATAAAGAATGTATCTGTTCTTTACCCAAGGGGAAATATTGGATGATTAGATAAAGAGTTCCTGGGGAGAATAAGCTTCTCAGAGTTTCTGGGTCATTGTCTGGCTTCAGCTTCCCTAAGGGTGTACAAGAACAGTTTCTGGGGAAATTAAAGCCTAAGGTCACCAGTGAGTGTAGGGAAAGAAGCTCATGACTGGGCACTGGCAAGGCTTTTGTATGGACTAGAAATAAGTAGTCTGCTAATGATTGGATGGGGAATAGGAGCAGGGGCGTGAGGGTATTCTGATATTTTTGTTTCTAATCTCTCCATACCCAGCCCCCACCCTCAGTAGCTCACAGAAGAAAAGTACTGAGGGGTAAAATGCCTGTCCACACCTGCTCCCTGCAGCTGTAGTGCTCCTGGGAGGGGTAGGCAAGACCAGCTGGGTCCTGTCTGAGCTGCTTTGACTCCTGACTTTAAGGACAGGTGGGACTGGGACAATGACAGTTGGATCTTGATGATGATAGCCCCGAACATGACTGCCATTCTAGTCACACTATTTTAATCTATAATTATTATCTTATGTCTCTGGTATGTAACTATGATCTGGGAGTTTTATTTAATGTTTTCTTATACTTCTCTTAGCTTCAGTCCTATATTGGGTTTTATGTTTCCTAAATTCCATCTCTCTTTCCTGACTTATCTTTTTGCTTTAGAACACACTTTCTCTTGCATTGTTTTTATGTTATTGTTATTTTTTCTCTGTGTGTGTGTGTACGCATGTGTGTGTGTGTGTGTGTTGGTCCTGGGTGTCAGTACTTGCTGGGGGTGATCTTGGGACCTGGGCACCATAACTGAGCCTTTTTGCTCAAGGCTAGCTCTCTACCACTTGATCCACAGCTTTACTTTCAGTTTTGGGTGGTTAATTGGAAATACAAGAGTCTCACAAACTTTCCTTCTTGGGGTGGTTTCAAACTTTGATCTTCAGATCTAAGCCTCATAATAGCTAGGATTACAGGCATGAGCCACCAGTGCTTGGGTTGTTATTATTATTTTTATTGCAATACTAGGACTTGAGTTCATCTCTTGCTTGCTGTACAATCATTCTACCATTTGAGCCATGCCTCCAGCCCTCTTCCAGCTTTTTGAAATTGTATGTTACATACTTTTATATTATTTAAATTATTTTCATGAACATAGTGTTTCAGAATAAATAAAAACAAGGTAAAATGATTTCAATTAAGATTTAAAAGGAATATGAGATTAAAAAGGAATAAAATACATCCTCAATCCTACCAATATGCAGAGAGAGAAAAATCACAGTAAATACTGACTGTACAGTGTTTTCTGCCAACTTTTTTTTTTTTAAAAAAGGGGATTCGTTCTAGCTCTCAAGTTTTCATTAGGGATCCATTTATTTCTCATCTGTAAAAGTTTGTATCTTCATTTTCTTAGTGTTCTAAAATTTCACAATGATGTACCTTGGTTTGATATGTCATGGTTTAATGTTTCTTAATCTAGACCACATCAACTTGTTAACCCAAGTATTTTGGTTTCTAAGAAAGTTAAAGTAGTTTGTTGATACTTTCTTCTTTGTCTTCTGTTTCTGGAACTACTGCTAATTTGGATGGTGGATCTTTTAGACTGTTGCTCCAATATTCATATCTTTTCTACTTTCTATTCCTTGGTCTGTTTGTCGTGGAGCTTGAACTTGGGCCTGGGCACTGTCCCTGAGCTCTTCTGCTCAGGCTAAGTACTCTACTACTTGAACTACAGTGCCACTTTCAGTTTTTCTGGTGGTTAGTTGAAAATAAGAGTCTCATGGACTTTCCTGCTTGGGCTAGCTTTAAACCGTGATCTGATCTCAGCCTTCGGAGTAGCAAGGATTTAGACCTTAGCCACCAATGCCCAGCTTCCTTGGTTTTTCATTCTCTACCCTGGAAGATAATATCAGCTTTAGTTTCTATCCCTTCTTTGAGTTTTCATTTCTGCTATCATATATTTTAATATATATATTTTATTGTAAAGATACCTTACAGAGGAGTTATAGTTACATGAGTAAGATAATGAGTACATTTCCTTTTGAGTATTGTTCCCCCCTCCTTTGTTTTTCCCCTACCATCTCTTCTTTCCCCACCTCCCCAACTCCTCCCTACCCCTCCCCAACTCCTCCCTCCCCCTCCCCAAGTTGTAAGGTTCGTTTTCAACATAGCATCTTCTATTTCTCATTGTTACAATGGGTCACCATGTATCCTTGTTTCAGCATTTTGTTATATCCCTTCCCCTCCCCAAATTAGAAAATGTATATACAAGGTGCAGGGTACCAGAATCAAATACAGTGAAAACAGGGGTTATACCATGAGGGAAGAACATACAAAAGAAACAAAAAATTCACATAGTACATTATAAGTACATTAAAAACAACAGCAACAAAGAGCCTCTTTTGTCCCAATTTTGGGATTAATTTCACTTAGAATCAGGTTATATGATCATATGTATATAGCTTTTGACTTTTTCTACTTATCTGGTAAGATTATCCTAGATGTATACTAGTTATTGCAAATAAGAGAAACCATGGGACCTATGTTTCTTTGGTTCTGGCTTATTTCACTTACTATAATTTTTTCCAAGTCTTTCCATTTCCTAACATATGGAGTGGTATCATTCTTTCTGATGGAGGCATAGAATTCCATTATATATACACCACATTTTTTTGGTCCATTCATCTACTGAGGAGCATCTGGGTTGGTTCCATATCTTAGCTACAGTGAATAATGCTGCGTGCTATCATTTATTTGAACTTCAAAAATCTTTTAAAAATTTTGTCTGTTCCCCTTTTAAGTAGACATCTTTGTTCTCATAGGTGCAACCTCAAACCTTTATCAAGTTAGTGTGTGTGTGTGTGTGTGTGTATGTGTTCCTGTATTGTGGTTTGTACATACCATGTGACCAGCACTTTTTTGTTCTGGCTATTTATTTATTTATTTTTTGGCTATTTATTTTTTTTGTGCTGTTCCTGAGGCTTAAACTCAGAGCCTGGGTGCAGTCTCTGAATTTTTGTGCTCAAGGCTCTACTGCTTGAACCACACAGCTCCACTTCCAGCTTATGGGTGGTTAATTGGAAACAAGAGTCTTTTTTAAAAAATAGGTTTTTTATTGTGATAACACCATACAGAGGCATTACAATTACATGAGCAATGTAATGAGTACATTTCTTATCAAGCATTGTTGTCTCCTCCTTTGTTTTTCCCCCACCATCCCTGCCGTCCCATCTCCACGACTACATCCACCCCCCCCCCGCCAAAGTTGTAAAGTTCATTTTCGACAGTGTCTTGTACATCTCATTGTTGCAATGAGTCCACCTGTATACGTATTTAAACAATTTGTTTTTTCCCTTCCCCTCCCCAAATTATACCAACATCAAATACAGTGGAAACAGGGGTTATACCGTGGGGGAGAGACATATAAAGCAATAAAAAAAATCACCTTATAAATACAATAGTAAGAAAAAAACCACTTGGGTCCTTACCTTGTGGTTCATTTTGCCTAACATCAACTTATCTGACCATTTCTACTTGTCTCAGACATATACTAGTAATTGCAAATAAGGGAAACCATGGGACCTATGTTTCTTTGGGCCTGGCTTACTTCACTTAATATAATTTTTTCCAACTCTTTCCATTTCCTAACAAATGGGATAATGACATTCTTTCTGATGGAGGCATAGAATTCCATTGTGTATATATACCACATTTTCTTGATCCATTCATCTACTGAGGGGCATCTGGGTTGGTTCCATATCTTAGCTATGGTAAATAATGCTGCAATAAACATAGTTGTGCTGGTACTACTTCCCAAAGTGGTAGAACAAGTTTACACTCCCACCAACAATGCAGGAAGTTTCCCTTCTGTCCACATCCCCTCCAGCATCTGTTGTTATTAGAGTTGGAAATAAGAGTCTTAAGGACTTTATTGCCCAGGCTGGCTTTGAACCAGCCTCAGCTTCCTGAGTAGCTAGGATTGTAAGCATGAACTACCAGCTTTCCCCCCCCAGCTGCCCTTAACTGCAGTCATCCTATTTATGCTTTCTGTACTCTTTAGGGTTTTTTTTTTATTGGTTGTGGGGCTTGAACTCTGGGTTTGGGCACTGTCCCTGAGCTCTTCAGTTCAAACAGTACATACCACCACACTCAACTCTTTTTTAAAAAAGATTATTGTAAAGTTTTTTAGGGGAGCCATATTTCCCCCAAGAGGGAGCATATGGCATCCATCCAGGTAGCAGGAAGAGTCTGGGGGTAGGAAGTGAGGTAGATGGGACCTCAGGTGGTCTGGGAGGAGAGAGAGAGGGGCCAACTGTAGTGCCGGAACTCCTGGGCAGAGAGGAGGTCTGGGTGGAGCTGGGGACCAAAGGTGGGCATAATGCTCATATTCCCAGCTCTCCAACTCTTTTTTTTTAGATGAAATGTGAAACTTTTTTTGCCTGGGTTGTTCTAGAACCATGAAACTCTTTTTCTCCCTCCCTCCCTCTTTCCCTCGAACTTCTTCCTTTAATTTCTTTCAAAAAGTCTCACTTCAGGCTCTGAATTTGCTATGTAGGCTCACCTCTATCTTGAGATCCTCTTTCCACATATTGGGATTATAGGCATATGCCATTATATCCTGCCTAAACCTGAAGTATTTCAGTAATGCGTGATAATGCTATAATTTCTCACTATGAAGCCTGGGATAGCCTGTAATTCCCAATCCTTTTGCCTTACTTTCCCAAGTGCTGGCATTATAGGTATGAACCACCATGCCCTTCTTGCTTTACTTACATCTACATTACAGGCTATCACATGTACTTATGTCTTTGATTAAGGATTTTAGAAACAAATTAGCTATTATTTAATAGCATTTGGGAGTTGAGTTATAAAATAATGATGGGCATTAAAAGAAAGATCCAGTGTTTAATGTTAGGTAAATAGTTTATTTATTGTGTTTTGTTTGTAGGTCAAGTCTGGATTCTTCCATGAAAGTGATTCCAAAGCTGTTGCTAAATCTATTAGAGATCGAGTGACCCTGATTAAAAAGACAAGGGAGAAGAAGCCTGCTAGCTGTTCTGAAGAACGCCGGGATTCTCAGTGCAAGTCTACAGGGAATGTACTCCCTCAGCAACAGACTGCAACTTTGCCACCTGCTCCTGTTCAGCACAATGGGGCTGAAAGTGAAGAAACAGAAGTTGATCAACATGTTCGACAGCAACTTCTCCAGAGAAATCCACAGCAGCCCTGCTTCTCTGTTAGAGGTAAAACAGTTACACTTCATAAAAACAAATGAAGGTCCAGTTATATTCCCTTATTTTTAAATGGCATGTGTGTGCTTTTCAGAGCCTTTGGCGATCTATTATTTTATCTAGCCTTTTACAAAGCCCCAGAAGTAGACACCAGGGAGTTTGTTCTCCCCACTCTCCCTCCTGTTCCTGAGCTTTGCTCAAAGCTAGCACACTACCATTTGCCACAGCTACACTTCCAGCTCTTTTGGTGGTTAATTGGAAATAAGAGTCTTACAGACTTTCTTGGCCAGGCTGACTTTAAACTGTGATCGCCAGCTCTCAGCCTCCTAAGTACCTACCTGAGTAGCTAGGATTACAGGTATGAGCCACTGGCATCCAGTTCTATCCCCTTTTTAAAATTAAGTGGAACGTCTGTCAATGACTGTCTAATGTGTTAGTTGTAGGAGGATTATACTGTGCCAACTAGTTTTGTTCACAGAAAAAAAATGACCTTGCTAACAAGTTAAGAGTCTTGCAAAATTTTAGTTGTTCATGGCTCTGATACTCAGGATGCTGAGATCTGAGGATTGTAGTTTGAAGCCAGTTGACAAAGGAAAGTTTTTGTGACTCATCTCCAATTAAGCACCACAAAGCCGGAATTGGAGCTTTCTAGCCTTGAGCAAAAAAGCTCAGTAACAGTGCCCAAGCCCTGAAGTTGAATCCTCAGAACCAGCACAAAATAAATAGCCTAACATAAATCCTTTTTTTTGGTTGGTTGTAGGGCTTGAACTCTGGGCCTGGGCGCTGTCTCTCAGCTCTTGAACTCAAGCACTCTACCTCTTGAGCCACAGCACCCCTTCCGGTTTTCTGCTGTTTTATTAGGGAGAAGAGTTTCATAGACTTTCCTGCCTGGGCTGGCTTTGAACCAAGATCCTCAGATCTCAGCCTGCTGAGTAGCTAGGATTACAGGTGTGAGCCACCAGCGCCCGGCTAACAGAAATCTTTTTTGTTGTTGTTGTTGTTGGTCGTGGGGCTTGAACTCTGGGCTTGGGCACTGTCCCTCAGCTCTTCAGCCCAAGGCTAGTGCTCTACCACTTGAGCCACAGCACCATTTCCGGTTTTCTGGTAGTTAATTGCAGATAAGAGTCTCACGGACTTTACTGCCCAGGCTGGCTTTGAACCGCCATCCTTAGATCTCAGCCTCCTGAGTAGCTAGGATTACAAGCATGAGCCACCGACACCCTGAGTAATATACATCTTTTAACAAAGATAATTTAGAACTAAAGATAAAATTTATTTCTCAGGCTGGGAAGGTGGCTCAGTGGTAGAGCGCTTGCCTTGCATGCATGAGGCCCTGGGTTAAATTCTTCAGTACCACATGAGCAGAAAAATCCAGAAGTGGCATTGTGGCTCAAGTGGTAGAGCGCTAGCCTTGAGCTGAAGAGCTGAGGGACAGTGCCCAGGCCCAGAGTTTAGGCCCCACGACCAACAACAACAAAAAAATTATTTATCGAGAAAGAATTTTCTAGATGTTGAAACAATTAGCATTTTAGGCAGTGTTATAAACATAAAATCCCTAGTTTTTTGCTGTAATTGACTGTGTAAAGACATAGTACTTGGGGCTGGGAAGGTGGCTCAGTGGTAGAGCGCTTGCCTTGCATGCCTGAGGCCCTGGGTTCGATTCCTTAGCACCACATAAGCAAAAAAAGAAAAAAGCCGGAAGTGGCACTGTGGCTCAAGTGGTAGAGCGCTAGCCTTGACCTGAAGAGCTGAGGGACAGTGCCCAGGCCCAGAATTCAGGCCCCACGACAGGACCCCCCACCCCCCAAAAAAAGACATAGTACTTACATAGAAAATAATCAATTCTTTTTGCAAAAATAGTATTTTTCTTCCATTTCTAGAAGAGAATATGACACTTACATTAAAAAAAAAATCTTTGTGTATGGGGTAGGTATTGGAGCTTGAATTCAGGTCCTAGGCACTATCCTTTACATTTTTCCACTCAAGGTTGGTACTCTACCACTTGAATCACCTCTCTACTTTCAACATCTTAGTGGTTAGAGATGAGCCTCAGGTACTATCCTGCCTCAGCTGGCTTTGAACCATGATCCTTAGATCTCAGCCTCTAGAGTAACTAGGACTAGCCGGGATTATAGGCGTGAACCAGTGGTGCCCCACATGAGATCTGTGTGCGTGTATGTGTATATGCGTATGTGGCCATTGGTCTAATCCAGGGCCTTGCACATGTTAGACAAGCAATTGATCACTGAGCTATATCACCAATCCTGGGGTTGATTTTTTTTCTTTTTTTTTTTTTTTGCAGTAACTGGAGTTTGAACTTAGGGCCTCCAGCACACTTGGCTTGATTTCTCAGCTTACCCTGTATACTGTACCTCTTGAGCCATGCCTCCAGATTATGAAGTTGATTTTTATGTGCTTGTATTTAGGTTTGTTTTTTAAAGAAAAAATTAAAGCTGGGGAAGATAGGTATGGTATTGTTTGCCTAGAATCCCAGCTTTGGGGAGGCTGAAACAAGAGCACTGAGAGTTTGAGGCTAGCCTGGCTATACACCAAGACCTTGTCTCACAGCCTCCCCGACCTGTTTTTTTTTTTTTTTTTTTTTTTTTTTTTTTTTTTTTTTGCCGGCCGTGGGGCTTGAACTCTGGGCCTGGGCGCTGTCCCTCAGCTCTTCAGCTCAAGGCGAGCGCTCTACCACTTGAGCTACAGCACCACTTTCTGGTTTTCTGGTGGTTTATTGGAGATAGGAGTCTCAAGGTCTCTCCTGCCCGGGCTGGCTTTGAACCGCGATCCTCAGATCTCAGCCTCCTGAGTAGCTAGGATTACAGGCATGAGCCACCAGCGCCCGGCTTGACCTGTTTTTTAAGACTAGAAATTCACTCAGTGTAGAGTACATATTTGTCATGTATGAAGCCCTAGGTTGTATTTAAAAAAACAATAAAAAAGAGGAGAAATTTTTGGTTATGCCACTCTATTGACATTTCATTGATTCATAGAGTTTACATGGTGTTTTTTTTTTTTCCTTCACTCGTGGGGCTTGAACTCTGGGCCTGGGCGCTGTCCCTCAGCTCTTCAGCTCAAGGCGAGCACTCTACCACTTGAACCACAGTGCCACTTCCGGCTTTCTTTTCCTTTTTGGCTTATGTGGTGCTGAGGAATCGAACCCAGGGCCTCATGCATGCAAGGCAAGCACTCTACCACTGAGCCACCTTCCCAGCCCTCTTTTAGGTTTTATATAGAGAAAATACATATAAATATAAAATATATCAATATATAAATATATGAGGTATATATAGGATATATGTATATACACATGTATATATGTGTGTGTGTGTATATATATATATATATATATATATATGTTATTTGAGCTGTCTGGTTGTATAGTAGAAAAGACATTAAAGCAACACTTACTGCTTACTGCTACTTATTTATAGCATTTGGACATTCTGCTTGAAGTTTTTCTTTTTACCTGTTGCTTGTTCTCTTTGTTATAGGTGACAATTTGCCTGACACAGGATCTGGATCAGTTATGCCTTCAGAAACTTCAAGTCAGCCCAATATAGCCTATTCATCAAACCAGCCAATTGGCTCCCAACTGGTTTCTAACATCCCACAGGCTGATATAAATGTTCCAGGGCTAATTTATCCATCTCAGCAATTAGTAGGACATTGCCAGCAAATTTCAGGGGTGAGGTGAAATATTAGATTTTTAATATACAATCATATATTTCCTAAAATGGAAAAGTTTATTCTTAATGTTTTCCCCCTTATTTCACAGTTGCCGATGCAACCAAACCTAACTCAGCCCCAAGTTTTACCTGTGGTTCAAGGTCAGTCTTCTGTTTTGCCTGTACAAGTTGTTGGACCTACAGTTGTTTCACAGCCACAAGTTTCTCCATTATCTACCCAGAAGATCTCACAGGTAAATGTAATACCTGTTTTTATAAGCTATATATTAATTTAAACAAATATAATACTGCCTAGATGTTTCTTTTCTTTTTTGTGCTGATACTGGGCCTTGAACTCAGGGCTTCACACTCTTGCTTAGCATTTTTGCTCAAGGCTGGCACTCCACCACTTGAGACACACCTGTACTTCCAGATTATATTTTTACTGGTTAATTGGAGGTAAGAGTCTCTCATTTTTGTCTCCATAGGCTGTCTGTGAACCATGATCCTCAGATTTCACTGTCTCCTGAGTACCTAGGATTACAGGCCTGGTCTACTAGTGCCCCTGTCTAGATTTTTCTGACAAGCAAAGATTCTCTTTCCTAAATTTATCATAGTGCCCGGCGCCGGTGGCTCACGCCTGTAATCCTAGCTACTCAGGAAGCTGAGATCTGAGGATCGCGGTTCAAAGCCAGCCCGGGCAGGAAAGTCCGTGAGACTCCTATCTCCAATAAACCGCTAGAAAACCGGAAGTGGTGCTATGGCTCAAGCGGTAGAGCGCTCTCCTTGAGCTGAAGAGCATAATGACAGCGCCCAAGCCCAGAGTTCAAGCCCCACGACCAACAAAAAAAAAAATGTTGGGCTGGGAAGGTGGCTCAGTGGTAGAGCGCTTGCCTTGCATGCCTGAGGCCCTGGGTTCGATTCCTCAGCACCACATAAACAAAAAGCTGGAAGTGGCGCTGTGGCTCAAGTGCTAGAGCACTAGCCTTGACCTGAAGAGCTGAGGGACAGTGCCCAGGCCCAGAGTTCAGGCCCCATGACTGGTCCCCCCAAAAAAAGTTATCATAGTTTAGATAAAGGTTACCGAGCGCTAAAAGTTAGTTTATGCATTCTTGCATTCAAGACATTTCTCTTGAGGATGCACCTAATGTAGTATAAGTAGAATCTAGAAGCACTACTTGTATAATTAGAGAAGAAACAACAAACTCAGTATGTAGACAAAAGATCTATTTAGAGCTCAAATTTCTTTTTCTTTGTTAAATAGTGTTTTTCTTCATATTGTCCTTTTCCAGCTTGACAGTAGAGGTGAGGTCTATGTGTTGCACTTAATTAGAAGTTGTTTCTCATAGACCTTCATATTTTTAGCACATTCCTCTACATTCTTGGCTTAATTTTGGTTCGTGTTTATTTCTATTGGAGAAATAAGGAAAAACGTTTTGACTTTCAAACTCATGAAGTCAGTATTACTCACTTCTGACAATGAGTAAACAGTCTTTGAGTTCATGTATTCACATTGTGTCCTGGTTGCCTAAGTTATGGACTCTGAACACATGATTGGGCTTTTCTTTGCTGTTACTAATTTTCTGCCTCTCCACACACCTCGTTACCATTTCCTGAATGTGCCTTTCCTGTGTGGGAGTCAGATGGTCTAAGCCTTTCTCAGTGTCTACCAGCTGGTTTCTTTTTATGAGATTGATGTATAGTCGGTTCTAGTTAAGCAACAAACTTTTAATGATTGCTAGCTTCTGGGGTTATAAAAAAAAAACTTATGATATGAGGGGCTGGGGGTTTAGCCCAGCGGAAGGGTGCCCACCAGGCGCACACAAGGCCCTGGGTTTGGTCCTCAGCCCTGGAAAAAAAATTATGATATGATCCTTGCCCTCAAAGAGGTCACAATCTTATAGGAGAAAGCATACACATACTTGGCAAATGCCTACAGTCTGCTGGAAGTAGATTTAGTCTGATATAATTGAGTGTGCCTAGTATTTGGAAAGCGTTTATGAGTGATATGGTAAGTATCTATAATTGAGATGAATGTGTGGTTGATTTATCTTTTTCTACAAATATACTGTAAAGTATGTTGAATGGATGCCTGGATTTAATTTAGGTTTAGCCACATATGTATAGAGACGTGTATTTAATTAAGTCTTGGTTCCAGAATTTAAAGAAGTTTACAAGACTGTTCTGGAATATTTTTTTTGCTTATTGAAAAATAATGCCTGTGTCAGGTATGGTGGCATTCATCTGAAATCTTAAAAGTTGGGAGGCTGAGACAAGAGGATTGTAATTTTGAGGCCAGCCTGAGCTACATAGAGAGTACCAGGTCAGTTTGGGCTGCATAGTGAGACCCCATCTTTAAAAAAAGTGGTAATAATAACAAATAACTTTAAAATGATGCCCATAAAATTAGGAAGAAGTGACAATTACCTGTTATCCCTCTTATTAGAGATCGCTTACTGTTAGTGTTTGAGGATATAGCCTTTGGATTTCTCTTTTCTCTATAAAATACATGATTTTATAGACACAAATTTCTATTGTACTGGTATTTTTGGTAGTCTGTCCTTATCAACTACTATGTAAAAAGCACCTAAGCAATCATTTGACATTTGGCCTTTTCTGAACATGGTGGCCCAAGCTCTAGGAGTCATTACAGACAATGTACATTTATTAATCAGTCCTCTCCTGACTTTCTGAGAGAACACTTATGTTCATTTTACAGTATTGAAACCCTTTGAGTTTTCTCTTAGGACTTTTACTGGCTTGTATGTGAAGATAACCAGTTCTTTTAATCTGTGTCAGAGTTTCAGTGAGTTAAATGTGGTAAGTACAATAAACAAGAAAGCATGAGCAGTATATTGCTGGGACTACTCTCAGATGCTTCATGTATTCAACTCACATTTACTCATGGAATTTTATAAACCTAATGCTATATCACCTTTTGGGTAATTTGAGGAACATTTTAAAATACAGCACTATTTTATCAGTCTGTTTGGAACAGTCCCATTAAATGGGCACGGTATGTGCATTTGTAATTTGAATTTTCCTTGCACCAACACTAGGAACTGCAGCTGGCCCTTGGAGCAGATGAACAAACTTCAACCCAACACATGACTTTAGACTTGTCCATTACTGAAATTCCACAACCAATCCCTTCTGCTGTTTTTCCTCAGACATTGCCTACTTCACAGATGACTCTCCAGCATCCAACAGTTGGTCTTCAACTTGAGCCTGGCCCCACATGGGAATCAGGCATTAACTAAAGCACCAGATGCCAATCAGCCTTCTAGTTCCTTCCCGGTTATTCACTCTCGAGCTTTGTTGAATCATTCTTCTGCCCAGTATATTAGCAGTGCACAGAATGCAGCTTGCATTGTTCAGCTTCCTTCTGATTCAATTGTGGGGCATTCATGGGTCTTTCAGCCTTCATCATAGGTATACTTAATATCACAGCCATACCAGTGATACATCAGAAATGAACAACTCCAAGTTTTTCAGTGCCACTAAACCAGATTGTGCATTTGAAGGAGCCTTACTTCCAAGCCTCTGTTCTGCAGCAGCCATTATTTTTACAACCTAAGATTATGTTAGCTCCACAGCAAAATCTTCAGCAGGACTGTATTCTGCAGGAGTATGAAGCCCTTATAAGTCAGCAGCAACCAAAGGTTGGTATTGAAAGTGTGACTCAGTCCAGGGAACAGCCATCTTACTCTGTTGACCACACTTATCCAGGCCCATTCACAGAACTACCACCTTTCCCACTGAAGGCTCCTGAGCAGCTGTCCTTTGTGACACATCCCAGAAACAAACTTTTTTATTCCCCACAGTCAACTTACCCAAGGCCAGCTGCAGTACAGCCTATGACTTCACTGCTAGCCCCAGAGCATCTATCTACATGACACTATACAATCCCAGTCAGCCAACTCCATGCAGACTTCTTAACCAGGCCCACCTTCAGTACAGTCCACTTGTCTTGTGCAGACAGACTAACTGGCATATGCAATCCGGTCAGTTCACCCTAGGAAGCCTATGAATCAGCCTGCTTCTCAGACACTGCCTATTGAACGTGTCTTTTACTCAGAACAGACTGTTTACACCATCCAGGTAACTGAACAGACAACCTTCATAACCTGGCAAGTATACACAGTAAACCCTCCAGAGAGTAAACACATACATATTACAAACACTGCAACTGAGAAGTTAAACTCTGTACCATCTTGTGTAACACGGACTTCTGAACAAGAAACCTATTTGATACAACTCAAAGACAGTACTTCTTTAACATTGGAGCAAAAGATGTACTTGATACCACCCTCAAGTGCATAGACACATTCTACTGTGCCTTTATTTGGTGTTCAACATTTAGTGTCTACATCCCAAGCAAATGTCAGTTTGGGATACCAGCAACTAAAATCTCAAGCCCAGGAAGTGGCGCTGTAGCTCAAGTGGTAGAGCGCTCGCCTTGAGTTGAAGAGCTGAAGGACAGCGCCCAGGCCCAGAGTTCAAGCCCCACGACTGACAAAAAAAAAAAACAAAAACAAAAACAAAAACAAATAAACACACCTTTAGTATTTTAAAAAAAAAATCTCAAGCCCAGTCATTTAGCATTACATCTCAGGGGGAAGTAGAGGAAAAATTCAATACCTTGACCTTCATTCAGCAGACCTCTTCACAGGCCCAGTTCCAGCCCCCTCATTTCCCCCCACAGCTATCCCAATCACATTTAATGCCAAGCCAGGTTTCTCACTCAGCTTTCATTCAGCATCAGCAGATGACTCATTCATCTCATAGACAAGCACAGAAGATTCATCAGTTGCCTACTCAAGAAAGTTCCATAAATAAGCAGCAGTGTTTGTAGCCAACATTCTTCTGCTTCACAGCAGCAGCAGATACCTGTTTGGCAGGCACCTATCCAAGTTCAGCCATTACCAGGTATTCCATAGACCATTCCAAACACACTCCAGATTTTACCTCCCTTGTAACAACAGTTGCTGCCAGTGGCAGTAGAACAGCAATATAAAATACAACCTTTAGAGCAGCCTCAAGTATTTCAGGCATTAAACAGTAGTAAGACTTTTCCCCCACCATAAAAACCAGTGCAGCACCAGCCAGCATGCCTCCAGCAGCAGTGGGCTGGCTAGCCCACAGTGGCAGCCATTTTCTAGGTTAGCATCTGTTCCTGGCTTCTCAGAGCCACAATTACAACAACAGATCCTCTATCAAAACTCTGGGATAGCACTTCAAAATCAGATGTCATCTTTTG